AAAAAAAAAAAAAAAAAAATAAATAAAAAAAATGAATGAATGCCCTTTTGCTTACCTATGAATCCCTAGGATAAATGACTTTATTTCTTATTTTATTTTTTGAAAAAGGATGAACAAAAATTCTATTGACTCATGAGATGATTTTTTTAGGGAGTCATCTATCACTTAATGTATTGACACATATTGAAAATATATTTATTGTAGGACACGTGTCAATATATTTTTTGTGAATATGTGTGGATAACTCCATAAGACGTGTGATCCGATGACTTTATAGCAAAACTGAAGGGTTGATTTTTTGACTGAGTCGATTAACTCCCAAAAAGAGGTACATAAATTCACATTAACGATGCGCATAAGGCGTAAGTGATACTTTTACAAACACTAAGGGCGTGATTGTCTACATATTCTACAGTAAATATCTCACTCAAAACTTAAATTTAACTCAACTCCACTCTTTCCAATATTATCATTATAATTAAATAATATCAACCTATCATTATTACACATCACATCAATTTTAATTCACTATTCATCCACTCACATAATTCTAACTAATCATCACTTCCAATCATTTTCTTCTATTTTTACATTAAATCAACTTTAATTATTTTAATTTAAATATTATTTTAATATATCCACTAACAACTAACCATACTACTTTTTTCTCAAATTTAACTATAGTTAAAAAAAACTAGTTTTTTACTAGTTGAATTCATATCCAATCACCCCCTAAAAAGTTGCATGTGTATGCACGTGATATTGCTATTTTTTCTTTTTTTTTTTGTTACTTAAAATTATTTTTATTATTAATTTAAATTAATAATATAATACAATTTTCTAACTATTATTTAATAAAAAATAGTGTATTTTTGATAAACAACAATGAATGTATAATGAAATATAATATTTAATAATATTAACCGAACTCTATGACAATGATTCTCAGTGTAAAAAATAATAATATATCGTTGTCATAAGATTTGATAATCTTTTCAATTGGTCTACAGTTAATGTTGTAAACGAATCGAACCGAGCTTGGGTTGTTCGAGTTCGTGTTCGTTTACTTTCGAACATTGTTTGTATTCGTTCATTTATTTTTCGAGCAAAAAATCGTGTTTGAGTTCGTTTGTTTAATTGTTCGTCAAAGTTCGAGCTCGTTCGTGTTCGAATAATTTAATATATAAACTTTTAAAATATGTTCGATTAACTCGAAATTTGTTCGTTCGGACTCGAAAAGAAAAGAACATTATAAAAATAAGTTTATATATTATACTTTTTATTTATGTAAATATATAGAAAATAAATAAAATTATATTAAATTATAGATTTTTTAATAAAAATATTATGTAAATATCATAATTTTTAAACCTGGCCCGGTAATCGACCTGGGCAGGTCTCCGGGTCATCGGGTCACCAGTTCGACTGTCGGGTCACCGGGTCAATTGCTGAACCAGATAATTAATTTTGAAATTGTTAAAATTATATAATGAGTATTTTTGTCATATAAATATACATAAGAGTAACAAAATAAAATATTTTGTGTATAAAATTTGTACATTAAAGTGTTAATAATATGTATCTCATGATAATATTTACCATATAAACATATATATACATAGTTTTATTTTGAAAAAAAAAGAAAAAAAAATTAAAAAAAAATATGGACCCGGTCAACCGGGTTGACCTGGCCGGATCAATGCACCGGGTCGGCCAAGTCAAGATCGGGTTGGCTGGGTTTTGACCGGGTATGACTGGGTCCTTTGTTGCCCAGTTCAAATAGCCGTCCCTGACCGGGTCCGGGTAAAAAAACTATGGTATATATATATAAACTAAAATAAAATTATATAAATTAATGTTCGCTAACATAATTGAACGTTCACGAATCGTGTTCGTTCAATTATTAAACAAACTTAATTTTCTGTTCGAACTCGGCTCGCTTAACATACAAACGAGCTTTTGTTCGCGAACGTTCGACGACTCTATCTACAATCTGATTGTAGAGATCCATGCCTTTCAAGCTCGAACGAGCTTTTGCTCGCGAACGTTCGACGACTCTATCTACAATCTGATTGTAGAGATCCATGCCTTATTTTCCTTTACAACGTTATTTCCACCATTGATATCCAATTTCTCTTACCATTTTTTTTCCTTTTTTTTTTCAAGGTAAATAACCAAAATTATACACTAATAGCATCTTTTAACAAGTAAAGGTTTATAAACCTACTTTTACATGAAAAATGCTACATTGCAAACATAGTGTACAACTAAGTTGACAACACAAGTGTAAACATCCACTTGTGTATTTTTTTATTTTTTATTTTATGAATATTTACACTGATGTTGTCAACCTAGTTGTACACTAAGTTGGTTATGTAGTATTACTCCTTTTACATTTTCTAACACGTCACATCACCCAAAACTTTATTTTTACTTCTACACTCATAACCTCTCATAACAATAAACATCATAAAACTCCTTTTAATAGGTCCTACATGTTTCCCACCTACTTTAAAAATAAATATATAAATAATTTATTTGATATATTTTCATAATAATAAATATTAAAATTTATTTATTTAAGAGAACAAATGTATATATATAAAAAAAAAGATTCTAAAAGAATTATGACAAAACAATAAACCAAAAGTAGGAAAAAGGAATGGTAACTTTAAATGGTGTGGAATATGACTAAAAAATAATTTATTTTTACAAAAAACTTAATGTTTTATTTATAATTTTATAATTGAAAAAAATAAGAATTTTGCAAATATTTACATCATTTGTCATTTACTTTCAGCAACCACCCACCGTGCGAAAAAAAAAGTTCTGAAAATAAAAATTAATAAATAACGAAAGCCAACTTGGTAGACATATGTACAAATGTGGGCCCTCGATATGAGGTTTGTATGGGGTTTATGCCTCAAAACTTCGCAAATACTTAGGTGCGCCCTGACACACCTAGCAAGGTGTACAAAAATAATTTTGAAATGAACATGTTATGTTACAAAATGAACATGTGTAAACCATGATTACACATGTTCGTGTTCATTTCAAATTGTCTAAGGTGTGCCAGGGCGCACGGTAGTAGCACTGTCAAACCTATGGATAAACCTTGAGGTTTACCTATGTTTTGAGTAATGCTATAGCCAACATGAGTTTTAACATCATCAAATAACAGAACTATCAAACAGAGAGCAAAGACAGCCCCAAGAATTTGTAGATCAAAAAATATTTTCCTTTTTCTTATAAAAACCAAAATATTATATTTTCCTCGATCAATTTTCCTTTTTTTTTCTATTCTACTTTTGTTCTCCAAAATTTTACCTCTGTATGGCCTTGTAAAGCACCACTGTCACATATTTGGACCGATACCGGCTGGTGGACCCGAGTGCCACCACAGACGGGCAGCTCTTATTCTTGTGCATATACAGATGGTTCAGCACTACATGCGGTGGTCTTGAGTAAGGTGCCGGGATTTCCATGTGAGGCGAAGCCACGTTTAGCAGAGTTGAATTCAAATGCTGTGGGGCTATGGGTGGCTCTTTGGCAAAATCCTCCTGCCCCAGCTCTGAGTTGCTGTAGCTCGAGTCTGGGGACTGAGGCGGCTCGAGACCTGAAATGCTTCCGGTATCTTCTGGAACATAATCCTGCCAGTGTTAGGTTTTTGATTAATTGTTGTCCCACATCGGATGTATACCAAAGATGTGTAG